GTTTGGGAACCACTGCACTTTGGTTCCCAAAGTTGGGCTTGGGACTCAATTATGGGTCATGAAGCACCTTGGATAATCTCCAGAAATCAACTTAAAGGGTAATAAAATAATTGCTGATGTAATATTTTTCCTATAACTATTACAAAAACACAAAATAAGTATAAATTAGTACTTATATTTGTGTACAAGCTGTTTAGATTATCAAAAAGCCTGTGTTTTTAGGGTTATTAACAAAGTTCGTGTACTCAGACCAGTAATATTTGGGGTCACAAGTTTTTGCCATGGATATTTTGTGGGTCAGAAGATAAAAAGTTTGGGAACCACTGATACAGAGGACAAACACAGTAATATTTGAGAAGTGAAATTAAGTTTATATGATTTACAGAAAGTGTGCAATAACTGGTTAAACAAAATTAGGCAGGTGCATAAATTTGGGCACAGAGCTGAAATCTCTGAGATAGCTTTCTGTATCCTTCCCCTAAACCATGATGGTGAACAGTCTTTGTTTTCAGGTAATTTGAAAGTTGTTTTGAGACTCCCATGCTGCGACTCTTCAGAGAAGATGCAAAGAGGAGAAAAACTTACAAATGCCCCCCTTAAATACCCTTTCTCATAATTGGAGTCACCTGTGTATAGAGGTCAAGGGTCACTGAACTTACCAAACCAAATATGAGTTCCAATAATTAGTTCTAAAGGTTTCGAAATCTATAAAAGGACAACAGTGCCCAAATTTATGCACCTGCCTAATTTTGTTTATGCAATTATTGCACACTTTCTGTAAATCACATAAACTTCATTTCACTTCTCAAATATCACTGTGTTTGTCCCCTACATGATATATTTTACTGATTTTTTTATCCAAAACAATCAATGATTTATAAAAGTAAATCAGGAAAATTAACAAGGCTGCCCAAACTTTCGCACCCCACTGTAAATACTTTACACCATCTAGCATGCTGCATCTGGAAATAAAGCAAAATTGCGATGTGACAGGTGGAAGCATTTAAGGTGGAGAAATTCTTGCATGCACTTGAAAATAAAGGCACCGCATTTAAACTAAATATCTGGCAGCTGATTCACTGCACAGCTCTCTAACAGACATCCAGTGAATTCATAAAGCTACTCCATCCAGCAAACAGTGTTGCTACTAGTTTTATTTAACAGAATGTTGTTGCTGATCAGTGTGCCCCTCAAGTTCTAGCTTTTTTTAAACAAAACAATTCACTAAAAGTATATTAAAAATGTGAAATTTAGGATGATTTGGCCTTTTCTGTTTGATTTATAAGAACCGTTGGTTAAAGACACATTACAACTCCCAGTAGGTTCATTTCTATCCAGTTGTACTTGAGTCTAACAGACATCTACAGCAGATAGATGTGTTTCCAACATCTGCAGGATATGAATAGAAGTGTTGTAATTTGACAGTGAACACGCACAAGTGTAAATGAGCAGCTGCCAGAGAAATGGGGTGAAAGCTTTTGTTATAATGTAAGAACTTCATTTTTTTTCAACTTGTCTAAAGCTGGTGTTAAGGATGTGGTTGTGATCTGTCTGTAACTTTATCAGCTGATCATCACTCAGAGCTTTTTCTGAACTATAAAGAGCCGGCACACATCAAGACTATTTCTCTTTTCCCCGAAGGAAGGATAAAATATTAGATTGTTCCTTTAATGTGGTTAAGGTTAACTGCAGGGCAAGGAAAATTAATTAAATGATGAGTAAATTATAACATACATGTACAAAAACAACTAGTCTTGCCTATACCTCATTTTATACAATCAAATCATTAAACTTAGAGGAAAAACTAAGCCAGGTAGCTGAGAACATTTGGATTCTTTTCTGCTGCATCATCACTTTGAAACAAGAAAAATCAATGACTTTATATCGAAACCAAGAAAGATGCAGGTTTTATCAGTCACCTTGATTCTATTTTGACTGTCGCAACAATTTTTAGTACACTTGTTGGCTGAGGGAGAAAGATCGCTGCTTTGCCCCGTCTGAGAGCCTGAAACAGAAACACAGTCTGACATGATGCTCGCAGAGACATCATGGGTCATTTGAGATGCAGTTATGAACTTAAATAAGAGRAACTATTTCTTTTATTTCACCTGGTTTGATATAAATGACAAGGAGATCTGAGTAACTTTCACTAGTGGAGACACTAAGCGCCCACTTACGGTTAAACTTTCCAAAAGCACAAAGATCCATCAAAGCTGACATTTTTTTTTACAAAATACTTGAGCAGAAAAGTTATTTATTGAAGAAAATCTGTTAAACGTTGTAAGAAAGGGACCTTTGTGCTTTGTTTCTCTGTAAGCAACTCAGCAACAGTGGCAGGCTCTCGCAGGATGTTTGTTTCATTATTTTAATAAAGATGGCCGTTGTCTTCGGGGTTCGGAACAATGTGGATTTGCAGTCTTGGAACTGAATGGCAGCGAGCAGGAAGAGCTTGCTGCTGGAACATAGGAGATAATATAATCATRGTGCTGGCTGCCATACGTTAGACAATAATACACAGAAAATAAAGGAAGGGAGAAGAAAAGAAAGTTCTGAATTTAGTAGAGACTGGGAAGTCTGGGAATTTCTGATCTCCAACTAAAGATCAGAACTAAAAGCATCTTTCCACGACATCCTCATTTGGTTCATTTGTTCCTCTCTAATCATAAATTCTGGTGGGAGCTGTGGTCCATAACCCCAAATGCAGGGCATTAACAGCTGAACGTTAGCAAATATGAGTCCCTTATGTGGTTGTAAAATGGCTTTCAGGCATTCTCTCTGTAAAACACTCTGAAGTGGGAGAAAGCACGATCGCATGATGCAGAAAAAGCTGACAAATCAGAATCTTATTCATCGTTTATGTAAAACAGAAGCAGCATTAGCACATAAAACACACAGAAGAATTAGCTACTTTAAACTCACCACTCCCGCCTGCATGATGACACTCATCTGATTCAACCCAGAGCTTCCATATTAAAGCCCTGATTAAAGAGCCTGGGAGAAAATGAATCCAACCTTTGGAAACTATAAAGGGCCCCGTTTCACAATAACCCACTCATCTTCTCCAGCTGAGGCCTGTAAACTTCATTTACATGTGTTCACATCTACAGTGCGTTTAATTATCCAGCAACAAAAGAGCTGTTTAGGAAAACAGCTTAGATTCAGYGAAAAGGGAACAAATTTAGGAAATTAAGTTTACATCATCTGCTGCCTTTAAGGCCAGAGTTTTAGGTTAAGATGATCTCAAGCTTAGATCCGACAGAGTTATAGCTATTTTGGTCAAACCTTGAAAATAATTATGGACATTATGTAATATTGTGATATCTCATACCGTCTCACTATTTGTGTGTTGATAGTCTATAAGGTGTGGCAGTCATCTTTTATTGGGAGAAMAATAAACAATAACTGATTTTGGTGAGTTTCACTGAAATCCATTCAGTGCTTCTTGAGATATTTTGCTAACAAAAAAAGCAGGTTTGACTGCCAAAGTTTGTACACATGCAATGTGTTGTTTTCAAAGGATGTGTTGTGGACAATACCTAGCTACAACCTCACTAAATTTTAGCCTGACACCTGTAAAATTAGCTGAGGTACAACCATTTTTGTGTTTTCTAATGTCAGTCGGCTGTGACGGCCATCTTGAATTGGGTCGACTCCAAATAGTAAATCATTTGTAGAGGTACATCCATTGATTAGTTTCTAAACATTTCCTTAAAGTACTTCTATGGGTTCATGATATATTTTGCTAACAGACAGGCACGGTTTACTCCARTAGTTTGTGGCAAAATTTTAAACGTTTTGCACCATCAGTTGGTGCTCAAATGAAGGTTCAGTCTCAGTTACTGCCATATCAAATTTTATCTTAATATCTATAATACTGGCTGAGTTCCAGCTGTTTTTGTGTTTACTTTGACGCAATGATTATAACATAACTACAAAGTGACAGATATTTCATTCAAAGGACAAGAGGTCAGCAGGAAGGCATGATCATGTGTGTTAAAGACAGGCTGGGAAAGAACCCAGCCCTGGTGGCTGATCGTGGATAAAAATTCAGCCTGACATCTCTGAAGCAGACTTCTGATGTCATCATAGCTTTGCAAAGATTATGTGGAGTATRTTGTGAGTGTTCAAATCCATTTAGCATGCCATTGTCACATTCTTAAGCACAACGCAAGATTACAAAAGGATGAAAATAAGGAAATTCTAATCCTTTTTTTCTGCCGCCTTTTTTTTTTTGTCTGAGGGAGTCATGGATTATTATACTTATTTTTTATTTTCAGTAAACTAGGTAGAGGGACAGGTGAGAAGACAGAGTTCAAACTGGCAATGCTTCAGTTACCACCGTGCTCATGAGAACTCGGGTCGGGTCGAACCCCGTGTCGACATTAAGCCTTTGATCTGGGACACTCCTGCTAATCTCTGCCTTTCCTGCAGCGCCGGAGTGAGTGAAAACAGCTCATCAACAAAACTATTCTCAGGACCTGCTCGCCCCGCGCTCTGCGCTCAGTTGGGAAGTTTTTAATTTGTGGGCCAGTAACAAGTTTAATCCAAAACCACAGGAGTCACAAACCAATAAAGAGACCCTTAAAAGAAGAAAGCCCTCAAATCTTCCAGAGTGACAACTCCCTGTGATAAAAACTGGTTTGCAGTCACAGTGCTAATTCATCAAAGGAACTCAACCTGATCTCACACGAACACAAAACCACACAACTGCATCACGTTCAAACCGTCACTTTTCTTCTCTTCTTTGATATCCAGCATCAGCACTGCCAGATTAAAGGCCCATTCTGACAAACTACAAAGCTCTGAGTTGAGAACAGCACTCGTACCTTCACTCACATCAATGCACGGAGTCAGAGGCTGAATCAGCGTCACTTCTAACAACTAACCTGTTGTCGTGGAGTTACTGGAGGAGTTCCTCTTAGAGTTGCTCGGCTGCCTGCTGAGATCCAGATCCAGGTGAGTTATGGTCCTCTTGTTGCCGTTCTTATCAACAAGCTCGGAGAAGATTTTGGCTTCGTCTGTGTTACTGGAGCTGTCTCGATCGAGATCTTCGTCCTTATCTGAAAGTAGTACGATCCTGTGGTTGAGCTGCGGGCTCACCTGCTTGGAAGACAAGGGGGACAACATTGGGGACATGCTCTGAAGGCTGTTTGAAGCCGGGTAGGATGTGTTGAAGACCCCAGCGAGGGATGGTGACGAGGGGCTCTTTGTGTGGGATTTGACTGGTGYTGAGGGGTCTGTGATGTGGGATAATGGCAGATGAAGCCCCTCAGAGAGTTTGGAAGTCGTGTTCTTCTGACTGACTTCGTGGAAATGGTTTCCATTTGGTCCTTTCCACTCTCCACTCTCCTGCTGACTTCTACTAGCTCCTGAATGTGGATTTGCGTGAGCAACACGAATAACCTTCCCTTCCACTTCCTGCASTTTGGCAATGACCCTGACCCCAGTGTTCCTTTGGTTGATTTCACTGTAAAGCTGTTGAGCAGACTTGACTGTTGAACCGTTTCCAGTTGACGTCTCACCCGGAGAATCGGATCTTTTAACGGGCCGCAGGTTGCTGTCGTTTTGCTGTCTGCTCAGGCCCTCCATCAGGCTGCAGGAGGACGACCCATACCCGAGCTCGCCGTCACACTCCGAGAAGTCGTTACAGAAATCCATGACAGGGTCAAAACTCTGGTTGTCCTCCGTTAAGTCCCAGCTCTTGCGAACGGTCAATGGTTCATCCATTGGCAGGATGGGATTACTGACAGCTCTGACACAAGAACCAGTCACTGGGCTATCAGACTCGTCCTTACAAACTGCAGTTCTTAAGGTTTTCTCTGCTTGTGGAGCTGTGGATACCTTGTTCTTCGTTGGAACCTCCACATATGAATGTCTTTTGCTAAAATTATTTTTAATCTTACTCTGCAACAAATCCTCAGCATCTTCAAGCTTCTTGCCTCCCAGCTTCTTTATCTTTTTGCTCTTGGACGCAACCCTCTTCTGCTCAAGAGTGGACTGACTGCTGATGCTGGGAACCTGACCTCCAGCCTGACCCTCCATGAAGTCCTCGAGTTTCCCATCCTGGTTACCCATCCTGACTTTGCGAGCGCAGTCTCGACACAGCGACAACAGATCGACCAGCAACTGGTGGTGCTCAGCTGCCAGCCAGCAGAGCTCTTCTGCCGCTCCTTTCGTTTCCCGCCGGGAGTTGGGAAATTTCCCTGAGGAGTCAGAAGACTGGGCTCTTTGTTTGAACGCTGCTGGATTCTTCTTCCCCCAGTCATGGTCATTAGCGGCGCTTGCTGAATGGGCGCTTCGGCTCTCGTACTTGAAGCTCGGGGCGCGCCTCTTGGGGAAGTAGAGGCTGACGTTGCTGAGCTCACGGATGGGTGTATACAGAAGGAGGATGGTGTGAGTGCCCTCCAGGATGGGTGCCATGTTAGTGGTCGGCAGGCGGCGAGTTTGGGGGGGATCTCAGGCTATTCATCATCTGGCCTGATGCTGTCGGAGAAGATAGAATGGAGAGATAAATCTGAATTCAGAAATGGAGATTAGACAGATTAATTAGCTGACCGATATTAATGAATCAGCAATCAGAAGTGCTTGCACATATTTAATCAATTACAAGTAGGATAAAAAAAGAAGCAGCAGCAGATACAACCAGCTACAGCCCATAATTTATTTATTTTTATTAGTGAGATGCAATGTACAAGTTCTAAGATTTGCAAAATATGCACTCAAGTTATGCAGTTAGTGTTAGATTGTGTTATTTGTGCTTTGATGATATAGCAAAACTCATAAAGTTTGACCTCTATTGTTCAGCATCAATTTTTGCTTTAAATTATTTAGCCTTTTTCTATTTCTCACTGATAATTGCAGTATGTTAAAGAAAAAAAATACACACAGCCTGTAGTTTTCCCTCAACATCCAACTGTGTTTCATCCTCCCAAAACAGTATACATTTCTAAACAGCAATTCATCAACATTTCACAAGCTGCTGCAGCCAGTCTCGCGCAAGGTGACGACACATGCGTGCAGGGCTCCGCGCAAAAACTGCCGTCAACCATGTTTACAAGCACAATACACACAGTTCACTTTAATAGTTAACCCCTAACCTCATCTGTTTGTGTCATAACATAATCCCGTGGGTTACAGTCACCTTGCAACAACGAGCGCTTTTGAATTAAAGATGGCAGCGAATATTGCTGTAAATTACAGTATCCTTCAGGGTTTCGAGTTCAAGCCGCCAACTGTTATTAAAATCCACATTATAATGAATTTATGGTGATTTTAAATGCTAAAAAACTGCGAATTATCCTCTTATATAATTCAACTTGTAATTTATGGTAGAGCATAATAACAATCAGCTGAAATCCCAAACASAGTTTGAGGAGGAAACGATAAATAAATAGTTACTTACCAGATTTTGTGGCGAGGCAAATAATTTCCTGACATCTCTGTACTGCAGCCAGTGAGCCAGCCAATACTYACCGTTGCTCTGCTGGGCTCGTCTGTGATGATCAACGCTGCCTTGAGCCAATAGCTGAGCTCACCGCTGGCGTCCTGCTCTACGATTGGCTGAGGGGCGTTCAGGGCCCGCCCACAGTTTGAGTCAGTGCAGCTGCAGCTTGCAGGTGGGACATGTGACGGGGAGTCGGGTTTGTTCCTGCGGGACGGTAAGATTGAGAAAGTTTCAGTCCACAAACCATTGGAACTCTCGAATTTATTTCTACCCGCTTCTCCAACAATTCTGAACGTCTTTACGAAAAACAGAAAGATAAGCTTGCTTTGTGTTTTGAAGGCCTCTGTCAACTTTGTGTTGCTAAACAGTGACACCTAGTGGCCAATTTGTGTATGAATCCTCCCCTGAAAAATGTTCAAGTAGATGCTGCTTGTACAAATAGTGCTTCCTTGTATTTTCAAACAAATATAATACTGTAATTACTTTAGGAGTTTAACAGTTTAAAATTAACAGTTTTTTTTGTATTTCTGTCCTAAGATGTTATTCAAACATCCAGGACTACCTGGAATGCTAATCTTCATTTAAAAGGTGCACTCTAGTAGATTAAATCATCAGTGTTAAGGCAGCTGCCAAGGTGGGTAAAAAAGCAACCAGATAAGCTACCTTTTACAAATACCCCAAAATATGGGTACAAATTTAGCAAGAATTGCAAATGAATGGTTTAGTGGAGGAACATATCTGGAGCCTTCAAATTGCTCATTGTATAGTGGAAGTCAGTGATGTTGACAGCCGTCTTTTGAAGCGCAGTAAAGTTTTTGCTGTGGTGTGAGGCTGCCTTTTGAATAATTTTGACTTCAACTAACAATAAAATATATTTATTATTTCTCACCTGTCATAAAATAATAATAATAATAATAATAAAAAACATTTACCAGTTGACGCTTAGAAAATGTTCATTGCATACCCGTTGATACTTTAGGTTGAAAATTGTCTCAGGTTTGTCTAATACAAACCTAAAACCAGTCAAATTTAAAATATTATTTCACACTGTGTAAATATTAGATAAATCAGAGGCGAAACCAGTTTGTAATATTTAATAATTTGTGTTAAATTGTAGCATGATTCAACAGTGTGCTACACTTTGTATAGCAATGCTACAGAAGCTAAGTATCTGTTATCCAATTCAGTAATTATCAGTAATCATATCAGCTTTATAAGCTTATTTGAAACTGTTACATTATTGGCTTCAATTCTAATAAGATCACATATACATCAAGGTAAATGAGATTAAATTTGCTTGCTTGTGAAATGAGACATGTTTACCTGTTTCTTCTCTGTTGGTACATCCACAACACACAAAGCTCTCTAAAATTTTTAATAACTTAATATTCAGTTCATATTATTTTAATAGTTTTTTTTTTTAAGATTTCTACATCATCAGCCCTTATTTTTGTTATATTGCCAATAATAATGGTAAATCCAGACTCCTGCCCATTCTGCTTAGCTCCGCAGCTTCTGCAGTAGATCATTCAGTCACATGGTCAAGGTTCACTCCAGTTTTTAAATGTACCTCTGTACCCAAACATCAACATTGTTTAATACCACTTCAACAACTGACTTTCAGCTGGATAAAATTGTACAAACTTGTTTGTTTATGTATTATGTCCATTTATCTTTACATTTCTTTGAAATKTTTGCAATTCACCATATTTTCTTATAAATGAAAAAAGAGTGTGGCTCAGTATGATCAGACAAACTAAAACATTTCACAAAACATAAAAATACTGAATGACAAATAATGTCCATCCATCCATCCATCCATCCATCCATCCATCCATCCATCCATCCATCCATCCATCCATCCATCCATCCATCTATA